CACTGACCACTGGGGTCACTCACTGACCCCACACCAGGCACTGACCACTCAACACTGACCGCTGGGGTCACTCACTGACCACTCAACACTGACCACTGGGGTCACTCACTGACCACTGGGGTCACTCACTGACCACTGGGGTCACTCACTGACCCCACGACTCAACACTGACCACTGGGGTCTTTCACTGACCCCACACCAGGCACTGACCACTGGGGTCACTCACTGACCACTCAACACTGACCACTGGGGTCACTCACTGACCCCACACCAGGCACTGACCACTCAACACTGACCACTGGAGCTGCTTATTGACCACCTGACCCCATCACTGACCACTCCACAGCATTTACTGATCACCTTTATTGGCCACCACACCATGCACTGACCCCCAAACCCTCTGCTGACCACTGGACACCCTTTAATGACCACTCCCTTCCCCTTACTGACCACTCCATGCAGTTCACTGACCACCAAACCTTGTGCTGGCCACTGGACACCTTTTATTGACCACTCCCTGACCACTCCACACCACGCACTGACCACCAAACCCTTTTTGCTGGCCACTGGACACCCTTTAATGACCACTCCCCACCATCCACTGACCACCACACTATCTGCTGACCATTTGACACCCTTTATTGCCCACTCCCTTCCCCTTACTGACCATGCCATCCACTGACCACCACACCCTTTAATGCCCACTGGACACCCTTTATTGCCCACTCCCCTTTTTGACCATTTCACGCCACTCACTGACCACCACACCCTCTGCTGACCACTGAACACCCTTTAACACCCACCGGACACCCTTTAACGCCCACTCCCCCCCTTTAACCCCCACTGGACACCCTTTATTGCCCACCGGACACCATTTAACGCCCACCCCCGGCCCCTCACTGAGCAGCAAATCCTCTACTGACACCCTTTATTGTCCGCTCCCCTCCCCTTTTTGACCATTTCACGCCACTCACTGACCACCACACCCTCTGCTGACCACTGAACACCCTTTAACACCCACCGGACACCCTTTATTGCCCACTCCCCCCCTTTATTGCCCACCGGGCACCCTTTAACGCCCACCAGACACCCTTTAACACCCACTCCCCCCTTTAACGCCCACTGGACACCCTTTAATGCCCACCAGACACCCTTTAACGCCCACTCCCCCCCTTTAACCCCCACCGGACACCCTTTATTGCCCACTCTCCCCCTTTAACGCCCACCGGACACCCCTTAATGCCCACCGGACACCCTTTATTGCCCACCGGACACCCTTTATTACCCACTGGACACTTTTTATTACCCATCAGACACCCTTTAACGCCCACTCCCCCCTTCAACGCCCGGCCCCGGCTCAGAGCAGCAGCAGCAGCGAGTACTCTGCGCGGGGCCAGCGGCGCGGGGCCCGCGCGGTCCGGCCGATCATCGGCAGCCGCTGCGCGTACCGGGAGCCGAGCGCGGCGCCGGGCGGCTGCGGGAAGCTGGTCTGGAACCTTCTGCCGGGGCAGCGCCGCCCGGTCTGCCGGCCCGCGATCACGAAGCTGAAGCGGGGAGGCCCCCGAGGGGCGAAGCGACATTTCTGGAACACGTCCCGAGCGCCGGGCCGGTGCCCGGAGGGGGCGCGGGGGGTCCCGCGGGGCCGGGGCGGGGGTCCCGGCGCTCGGTGCAGCGGGGGTCGCTCCGGCCGCGGCGGGGGCGGCTCCTCGTCCCTCGGGCTGACCGTGGCGTTGGTCAGCTGCGGCATTTTGCGGGCGGCTCCTTCGGCCGGGGGCTCCNCCTTAGGACCCCCCGTAGCCCCCCAAACCTTCCATCCCAGCGCGTGCAGCCCCACCACGGCCCCGTAGTGGGAGCAGAGCGGCCGCACGGGATCCGCCAGAACCTTCTGGAGCGAGAGCAGGATCTGCTGGTAGAGCCCCCTCACCAACTCCCCGTGGCTCCTGCGGGCACAGGCGGGCACTGAGCCCCCGGGACGCCCCCGGGACACCCCTAAAAGCCCCTCCAGGAGCCCCCTGCCCACCAGAAGATGCGGCCCAGCAGCATGGCAGCGTAATCCCGCAGGGTCCAGTGGTCGTTGAGGGGGTTGATGGAGGCGGCCAGCGGCTCCAGCACGCAGTAGAGCACCGAGCCCATCAGGCTGCCCACGTAGGAGCCCAGGCACAGGAAGGGGTTCTGCAGCAGGCTCCGAGCCAGGTGCAGCAGCCGGCTCAGCTGCTCCAGGTCGTGGCTGACGGATTTCACCTGAGGAAGGTGGGAGGGAGAGGGTGGAGAAGCTCCAGGGATAGCCCATCCCAGCCCAGTTCATCTAAACCCAGCCCAGCCCAGCCCAGTTCATCTAAACCCAGCCCAGCCCAGCCCAGCCCAGCCCAGTCCATCTAAACCCAGCCCGGCCTAGTTCAGCCCAGCCCGGCTCAGCTGCTCCAGGTCGTGGCTGACGGATTTCACCTGAGGAAGGTGGGAGGGAGAGGGTGGAGAAGCTCCAGGGATAGCCCAGCCCAGCCCAGTTCATCTAAACCCAGCCCAGCCCAGCCCAGTTCATCTAAACCCAGCCCAGCCCAGCCCAGCCCAGCCCAGTCCATCTAAACCCAGCCCGGCCTAGTTCAGCCCAGCCCGGCTCAGCTGCTCCAGGTCGTGGCTGACAGATTTCACCTGAGGAAGGTGGGAGGGAGAGGGTGGGGAGGAGCCAGGGGCAGCCCAGCCCAGCCCAGTTCATCTAAACCCAGCCCAGCCCAGTTTGGCCCAGCCTGGCTCAGCCCAGCCCAGAGAAAAGGGATCTGAGGGATTTCAGGGGGTCCTGGGGGGTCCTGGGGGGTCTCTGGGGGGTCCTGGGGGGTCTCTGGGGGGTCGTTCCTCACCTGCCCCCTGCGGCTCCAGGTTCCCTTTGCCATCCAGGTAGGACACGTGCACTGCAGGAGAGGGGGGTGAGACCCCCGCCCCACCTGGCAGGGCTGGGGGGTCCCGGGGGAGATTCGGGGGTCCCAGGTGGAATTTTGGGGTCCCAGGGGGAGATTTTGGGGTCCCAGGGAGGAATTCAGGGGTCCCAGGGGCGATTTTGAGGTTTCCAGGATGATATTTTGGGGGTCCCAGGGTGGTTTTGGGGGGTCCAGGGATGATTTTGGGGGTTCCCAGGGGTATTTTGGGGTTTCCAAGGATAATTTTGAGTTCTCAGGGGACATTTTGGGGTCCCAGGGTGGTTTTAGGGGGTCCCAGGGACGTTTTGGGGTGCCACATCTGACGGCAGTCTCAGCACAGCCTTTGGGGGTCCCAAGGTGACATTTTGGGGGGTCCCAAAGAACATTTCGGGGTCCCAGGGTGGTTTTGGGGTTCCCATGGATAATTTTGGGGGCTCCCAGGGGTATTTTGGGGTTCCCAGGGGATGTTTTGGGGTTCCCAGGACATTTTGGGGTTCCAATGACGTTTTTGGGGTGCCACCTCTGACGGCGGTGTCGTCGCAACCCTTGGGGATGTTTTGGGGTTCCCAGGGGATGTTTTGGGGTTCCCAGGACATTTTGGGGTTCCAATGACGTTTTTGGGGTGCCACCTCTGACGGCGGTCTCGGCGCAGCCCTTGGGGATATTTTGGGGGTTCCTATGGATAATTCTGGGGGTTCCCAGTATAATTTTGGGGTTCCCATGACATTTTGGGGTTCCCATGGATGATTTTGGGGTTCCCAGGGATGTTTTGGGGTTCCCATGGATAATTTGGGGGTTCCCAGGACATTTTGGGGTGCCACCTCTGACGGCGGTCTCGGCGCAGCCCTTGGGGGTATTTTGGGGTTACCATGGATAATTTTGGGGTTCCCAGGGATGTTTTGGGGTTCCCATGGATAATTTGGGGGTTCCCAGGACATTTTGGGGTGCCACCTCTGACGGCGGTCTCGGCGCAGCCCTTGGGGATATTTTGGGGGTTCCCATGGATAATTCTGGGGGTTCCCAGTGACAGCCCTGAACTGTCCCGTGGAACGGGAGCGAGTCCTGCGAGCCGCAGCCGCACACGGCCTGGGGACAGTGAGGGGACAGCATTGGGGACAGCACTGGGGTTCCCATGGATAATTTCGGGGTTCCCATGACATTTTTGGGGTGCCACCTCTGACGGCGGTCTCGGCGCAGCCCTTGGGGATATTTTGGGGTTCCCATGGATAATTTGGGGGTTCCCAGGACATTTTGGGGTGCCACCTCTGACAGCGGTCTCGGCGCAGCCCTTGGGGGTGTTTTGGGGTTCCCATGGATAATTTTGGGGTTCCCAGGACGTTTTGGGGTTCCATGGGGACATTTTGGGGTTCCCATGATATTTTGGGGTTCCCAGGGATGTTTTGGGGTTCCCATGACATTTTGGGGTTCCCATGGATAATTCTGGGGTTCCCAGGACATTTTGGGGTGCCACCTCTGACGGCGGTCTCGGCGCAGCCCTTGGGGATGTTGGTGGCCAGCGCCAGCTCCAGCAGGTTCACCTCGCGATCCTCGGGGAAAAACAAATCCGAGTCCCGCAGGGAGCGGAACGGGAGCGAGTCCTGCGAGCCGCAGCCGCACACGGCCTGGGGACATGGGGACAGTGACGGGACAGCATTGGGGACATGGGGACAGCATTGGGGACATTGGGGACATGGGGACAGCCCTGAACTGTCCCCTGGAACGGGAGTGAGTCCTGGGAGCCGCAGCCGCACACGGCCTGGGGACAGTGAGGGGACATCATTGGGGACGGCACTGGGGACATTGGGGACATTGGGGGCATGGGGACATTGGGGACATTGGGGACATTGGGGACA